ACCTAGAGACCCCATGGCCTTTATATTCAAATGACCTAAAATTCCCAAAGGTTCCAACTGTCTCCTGGGTGATGTTCAAACTTATCACCCTGGCATTCAAGTCTTCTACAATTTGTCCTCAGCCTTCATATCCAAGTGAGCTTTCACTTGATACCATTTTACCAATTTATACTTTAAATACTTGTTATTTGCGTATGACATGTATATCTTTTCTGTGAAAATTCTTCAAAAATATAGTTTATGGATTCAGGGCACCTCAATTCAACTAGAATTTTCTGAGCATCTACTAGGTACAAGGTTCTGTCCTGGACATTGAAAGGGATAGAAAAATGTATGACTCTCCATGATGGACAGTATAATTTATAGTCCCTTTATGAAAAATAGTTCTAATGGGAGTCCTCAGTGGGTCAGACCTATAACACACTCCACTGCAGCAACTTCCTTGGGTAGCCTGGGGCTTCTGGGGCACTTTGCACATCCCGAACAATAGCATATGTGATTACAATGCTGTCTCTTTAGGCTTATCTGCTTTTTCCACAGCCTAACTGTCCATGTGCACACAGCTTTATTTAAAGTATTCCCTAAGTCACTCCTCTTCCTTCTTCTTGGCTCAGTGTTACAGAAGAATAGTTATTTGCAAATAAGAAGATGGAGACTTTACCTTTATCCTGTGGTTCTTCCTACTCTTGGAAAATATAACTAAGCATGTCTTCCCCAGTCGACCACTCCCTATTTATTCAAGTGCTGACAAAGCACTCCAGCTGTTCCTCTCATAACTGCCATCAGGTTCTCAGTAGAAATTATCAAAGAGGAGAAGACATTTAGTCAAAAAGTGCTAAACCTTAACTGAGGTCTACAGTATTATTTTAGATAAATAACAGCGTCAACTTCCTCCCATGCAATCTTGGCATTTGAGAAGCTAGAACTCTGATCGAAAAGCATTAAGAGGAAAAGAAGAATACTTTATGATGCTAAAGACACCATTCATAACGAAGACATACTATTACTTAACAAATTGTATAAAGCAGAAAGTATAAAGATGAGAGGAGAAACAGACAAAAACACAATAATTTGGAGACTTTAACACATCTCTCTCAATCCAAGAAAACAAAGATAACAAAACATTAATAAGGATATAAAAGACACAGATAACATAATCAATAAGATAGATCTCATAGATATATAGCAAGCTCTGTATACCATTAGCAGAAAATACATAACCTTTTCCAGTGCACACTGAATATTCACAAAAGTGACATTTTAGGCCACAAAGAAGACCTCAGTAATCCAAAGAGTAGAAACAACATTCTCTGTCTACATGAAATAAAATCAGACATCAATTGAAAACCATCAAAAGGAAAAAGGTCCCTCCTCCTGGAAATGTAGCTCGTGCGTGCATGCACACACACGCGCACACACACACACAATTAAGCTATCCCTCAGAAAAGAAATACAAAATTTAAACACAACTGATCAAAAATTTTAGGATACAGCTAAAGTCGTTATCATAACAATAAAAACGAAAATATGTCAATTAAATATCTAATCCTTAAAGCTAGAAAACCAAGGAAAAGTGGAATGGAAATAGTTGATAATGTTAAAAACAAAAATTAATGAATAAGAAAACAAAGAACTGTAGATTTAATTAGGAAATGTAAAAGTTCTTTGAAAAAATTCAACAAAGAAAAAATACTAATTAAAATAATTAAAAAGGGAGAAAGCACACATATAGGTAATTACAATGAACAATCAATAACCATCAAAAAAGAAGAGTAGCATCTCAAGGTGATTTCTACCCAATTTTTAAAGAACAGATAATCCAAGTGCCACTTAAATATCCTAGTGCATAGAAAAACAAGGAAAACTTACAAATTCATATTCTAATCTTAGTATAATATTACGACCAAAAAAAGAAAAACACAGATCAATTTCACTTTTGGATATTTATGGCAAAAACTTAAAAGAACAATTAGAAAAGAAAGCCCAAGATCATATTAAAAATTAATTCATCATGGGCTTCCCTGGTGGCGCAGTGGTTGAGAGTCCGCCTGCTGATGCAGGGGACCACGGGTTCGTGTCCCGGTCCGGGAAGATCCCACATACCGTGGAGTGGCTGGGCTCGTGAGCCATGGCCGCTGAGCCTGCGTGTCCAGAGCCTGTGCTCCACAACAGGAGAGGCCACAACAGTGAGAGGCCCCCGTACCGCAAAAAAAAAAAAAATTAATTCATCATGACCAAGTGGAGTTTATTCCAGGAATGTGCAATGGTTCAATATTAGGAAATCTGTTCATATAATCCATCATATTAATAGAGTGTCTTAGTTTGTTCTGGCTGCTATAACAAATTACCATAGACTGGGTGGCTTATAAATAACAGAAGCTCATTTCTCACAGTTCTGGAGGGTCAGAAGTCCAAGATCGTGGTGCCGGTGGATTCAGTGTCTGGTGAGAGCCGGCTTCCTGGTTCATAGACTGGCAGTCTTCTCATTGAGTCCCCACATGAAGGAAGGGGTAAGGACCTCTCTGGGGTCTCTTTTAGAAGGGCACTCATCCTATTCATGAGGGCTCCACCCTCATGACCTGATCACCTACTGGAAGTCCCATCTCTTAATACCATCACACTGGGAGTTAGGATTTCAACATATGAATTTGGGGGGTGGGGTCACAAACATTCAGTCTATGGCATAGAGTTAGGGAGAAAAATTATGCGATCACATCCAAAGATACAGAAAACACATGTGAAAATAATTCAACACTCATTCATGTTAAAGAACACTTCTCAATAAAAAAGGAATTAATGGATATTTCCTAGATATCAATATGATACACACACACACACACACACACACACACACACACACACACCACTTACATAACAAAGCCACTATCTTACTTGCTGGAGAAATGAAAGGATGCCAATTATCTCCATTATTGAGGATTTTGTTAGAAATATTAGCTACTGTGATGGAAAATACAATTAGAAATTTAAAAACTGGAAAGGAAAAGGTAAAGTGTTCTCTAATGTACATGGTATGATTAAGTATCTAGACAATCCAAAGAAACAATGGGAGAATTACAACAGAATAAGAGAATTCCCCACCCCATCCCTATTCTGCTCCTATCATGGACTTGCATGTGTTTTTGGAACTCCCAGTCACTCAAGTTCAAGCCATGATGTCATAATAATATTAATTTCACTTGTGCTTTCACAATCTACTTTCCACCATATTTTGCACACACCCCTATCTAAGCAACTGCTAAATCATAGATTTTTGACTCTGAAATGTCCCTATCGGTCTTTCTTTTTTTTGTCCCTTTGGGGTCAACATCAGGCACTTACTCTCTACATGTAACTTATAAATGGCTGTCTGTTCAGTGATGCCACTCTTGTTTAACATGTAACTTTGTGTGATATAAGATCCTAACTCCTTGGCCAGGTTTTCTACAAAAGGCCCTTAATATACCTTTCCAGACTCTTTTCCACCTAATGCTTTATTCATACATTGTTCAGCTGGACCAGGCTGCTGGGTATCTCTTACATAAACCCATACTTGAAGTCCTGTATCTTTTAGAATACTCTCCTTGGACATCAACACCTGTAACAACAAGCATCCCTTCTCTAAGTCATCCTATAATAAGAATACCTAATTGTTTTGTTTATGCACTGTGCTAAGTATTCAATAAATCGTTGCTTTATTGAATAACCTCTGGCTGCCTGGAAGATAAAAATTTAGGGTTTTAACTCAACTAAGGATCTCTCCTTAGTTCATAGTTTATCCGTTTTTCATTACTTGGCTTTGCTCCAGTTTAGCAGGGACTTTGCCTTATTAGTCCTGTACTCTCAAAGCCTAGAACTCCACCTCGAACAGTAGGCACTTAGTAATAATTCTAACTGCATGGCTGTATGAAAACTGAGTGATTAATGAATAATGCAAAGAAGCAAGGGCTCAACGATAGACAACGTAAGCCAGCAACAGGATCATATCATCACTTTCTGGTTTGCAGGTATCTCAGGTGTTCGTAAACTCTTCTGGCTTACGGACAGAGAATTAAAAAAAAAAAAATTCAGCGGATTACTGGGCCCTCTGAATCCCATTTTTATAAGTACGAAAAAGCCTCATTGCAAAAGGAACAAAGGTGTTGGCAGACAGTATATTTAAGCTCAGGGATTGGCACTGTATGAACCCTACGGCCCCTAAGGGCCATTATGTATTGAGGGCTTGCTAATGTTAAATTGTAAGTTTATGTATTTTATAGTACATATCTTCTTTATATATGATACATATTAAATATTTTATGTAAATAAAACTTAGATTATACTTCGTCCGACATAGCCATTCCACAGCCACCACGGCCTTTGATCCTAAGGACCTAGTGAGGTCATCCTTTCAGCTCCCCGATACACCTTGTTAAATGGACTATTTAAACCGGGTAGCAGCATCCTTATCGGCTAACACAGCGTTAGCGGCCGCTGGAAGGCAAAGCATTAATAGGAACTGGTCTAAGGTTGGGCGTGGAAAGTAAAGTAACGGCTCCCACGCCCTCCCAAAAAGCCGAGGTTCTAACTTTGACCAGGTTTGACAAAGGGGAAGACTCGGCGCTTTCTAAAGCTCTGTTTCCAAACGCGACACGTCAGGACACAAACCAAACTACCTGGCCCCCCTGCCGGTTTAAAGTGCAAATCGACGGAACCTAAGCACCCAGAAAGCCGCAACCCCAGAGCACCTGCCGTAAGGGCGGGGAAAGGACGGTGGGCGAGCCGCGGGCCGAACGAGGGGAAGTCAACGCCCAGGAGGCGGGCCTCCCGCGGCGAACCCCCGCCCCTCCCTTGCTGGTCGCTGATTGGTGGCGGCTCCAGGCCGCGCGAGGAGGGGCGGGCCCCCGCGCGGCTCCGGCTCTCCGGTTCGGCGCGTCCCGCCCGCTGGTGGGTGTGTCCAGGCGGCGGGAGCGCGCGCGCTCGCTCGCGTCCGGGGACCGGAAAGGAGGCGGGGCCGCGGCAGCGCGCCCCCACTCCCCCCACCCCGGAACGCTCGGCGCAGGCGGCGCGGCTCGCAGAGAGGTGGACCGCGGCCGGAACGGGGTCCCGGGTGTGCGTGGGGAGCGGGTTTCGGGGCGTCGGCCGCGATGAACACGGTGCTGTCGCGGGCGAACTCGCTGTTCGCCTTCTCGCTGAGCGTGATGGCGGCGCTCACCTTCGGCTGTTTCATCACCACCGCCTTCAAAGACCGGAGCGTCCCGGTGCGGCTGCACGTCTCGAGGATCATGCTGTGAGTACGGCCGGGGTCGGGCGGCGGGGCCGGGCCGGGGCGGGGGGCGCCGAGGCCGGGCTGCCGCCCGAACCCCCTCCCCTCCCCGCCTCCCCGAGCGGCCTTCGCCCCCGGGCGGATCCATTGGGGGCTCTTCCTTGACTCCCACCCTCCGCCGCACCTTCCCGGGCTTGCTCTTAAATGTTCGTTTCGAGCGTTGCTCGGGTCGCTGCCTCCGCTTCCTTCCTGTGCCTCACTTCCCTCGCCCGCGCCCGGCCAATAAGGGAGCACCACACCAGCCCAGCGGGCCCGCCCGGCCGCACCCCCGCCGGCGCGGGGCTCGGGGTCCCGGGCGCTCCCGGCCCGACTCGCCTCCCGACAGCCCGTCCGCGGGGTCCGTCCCCCTCGTCCCGCCGCCGAAGGTACCCGCGGCGTCTGCGAAGTTGGCAGGAGAGGTTCGGATGCCCGGGGAGGAGTCGGCCTCCCAGCGCTCCCAGGCGGCGTGCTTTTAATTTTATTTGTGAAGGGCCAGCCGCTTGAATAAATCTGCGAAAATGCCCGAAGTAGAATTTTGAAATGACACTGTCCTTTCGCTAATGCCCATTTTTTATGCTAATTTTTATTCTCTGGCACTTTCTTCGATTCGTAGCTTTTTTCTCCCCCCTGGTTCTCGTGTCCTTCTTATCTGTGCCATCTTCCAACGAAAGCTCCCTCGTCTTCAACCTTAGTTTTATTTCTAAGTCACAAACGCCAACAAGCCAGTCATCTAATGGCTATTCCCCACTTATTTTTGTTTTCCTCCCTGCATTGATGTTTGTTAGGTACTCTTTTTTAGATTCCGGTAGACTCAGGCTGGACATCACGAGCGCTGTCTGCTCTGGGAGGGCTTAGAAGAGGATGGCTCATGGTACACACTGAACAGCTGTTAGCTACTGTGAACCTTGAGCAAGCTTCCTACCTTCCTCGGTCTTCATTTCCTTTTGTCTGAAGTGGAAGTAATACCCAACTCGTAGGCCTGTTGTGAGGATTGAGATAATTGTCAAAAACACATAGTGGCCCTGACCCGGATGCATACGTAGTACGTGCTCAGTGAATAGTAGTTGTTCATTTAATCTTGGTTTCCATACCACCTTGCAGTCAAATGTAATTTTCTTCTACCCAGTCTACCAAATCACTTGACATCGAGTATTTCCACATTCTATGAGCACTTTTTTTCTCCCCCTGGGTTTTGTTAGGGGTTCTTTGAAGGTAAATGAAAATAGCTGAAGACCTACTTCTATAGTGGATTAGAATGTTTCTATTGTCACACTTACCAGTTTGTCTGATTTTTACTTGTTTCTTTGTGGGATACAGCTAGACCCTGTCTTTCATGTATGTAAGGAATCTTGTGAGTTTTGTATGCTGTTATGTTTGAAGGATGGTGAAACTATTATCTTTATTTCTAGAAAAAATGTAGAAGACTTCACTGGACCTAGAGAAAGAAGTGATCTGGGATTCATTACATTTGATATAACTGCTGATATCCTTTTTAGCAAATATTTCATCGCTCTTTCTCTAGTATTACAATGATATACATATTTAGTGATTTGGGGGACAGTAAGTATGTTTATCCATTGAATCAGTCAGACCTTGGAAATTTCTATGCCTATGTTTTCATCAGTATAGTCGTGTTAATACCTCCTCGTTCAACCTTGAGAAAACTTGTATTTATAGATTGATGAGTTATTATTGTGTGAACACACTTTAAATTCTTCACAGAAACATTAAATAGATCTAAAGCTATAAAAGAGTTTGAATCTGTATTTAGGAAAGAAAATAAAATTAGATCATTTAGATTAAAGACGGAAGAATGTAACCACTACTCAGCCTACCTAGATGTAACGTTTCATGTACAATCCCCAAGAATATGTCCATGTTTTGTGACAGCAGAGAGAAACATATGTTGAAAAAGTGAATTGCATCTGCTGTGATTCAGAAGGTCATTATCAAATGATTATTGGTAAGCCATATTAGCATTTTGCCATTATCGTTCTTTTTATAAGTACTTTTATAATAAAAGTCAGAGAAATCGTAACAATTAAAAGAGTTATTTAAAATGGACGTGATTTAAATATTTTCTCTTTATTTTGAACTTCCACCTTTTGACACCTCTGGTCACTGGGCCAGTTTAATCTTCTCTTAGGGTCTTAGATTACTATCTTGGCAGCATTGTTACCTGCCACTTCTGGGATCTCATCTGCCTTTTTAAGACCCCAGGATTAAAGTTGGTTATGGAGATTGAACTGTCTGAACTTGTGTAAAGCAACTATCTGAACAGTGGAAGCAGATTATCTACCTGGGGAGTTTACCTGACATGTCTCTTTACTAGCCTGGAATTACTTTTAACTTGATTTTTTTAGAAATAAATTACTAGGTTTAGAAGTAGACTAGGAATTAGTTCTGTAGGCACTTTTTTAGGAAATAGAGTACACCATCAGAAAAGTCCTGTGTTAAACTTTTGCTTTTAAGTCTTCATGTCTTTAAAAAAAAAAAAAATCTAAGCTAGCGAGAGAGAGTTTGGAGCTAGTGTGAAAGTAGGAACTTTGTGTATGTGGGCAATTATAATGAAATTTAATTTCATCATTTGTAGTTTAGATTTTCTTAATATGGCTGCTAAAACTTGAAATTGTACCTGTTTTTATAGAGAGATATTTAAGGCTTCTGAATTCTAAAATAGTGATTCTTAGTGGATACACATATCTAAGAGTGGAATGTCATGAACATGCAGCTGTTAGTATATAAACGGATATAATAAAATGACTTAACCATTTACATATGATGCTTAATGAAATCCAAACATTAACTCAGTTCATTTCTCAGTGACACACCAGTCTTGTAATTAATCCTGGTGAGTTTTTTTCACTTGGGTGCAAACTAATGAAACCAGATTGGTATTCAGCTGTGTACTCTTACTAAAGCACTTCATGGGTTGAGACATTTTGATCTCTACTGGCATATGTCCAAAAATAATATGTACAATTTACCTTACTTGGTTTAATTACTTGAGCCTAGTTCACTTTTGCTTAACATTAAGTTATATTGTGGTGATTGGTTATACTGAGAACTCCAGTGGAATCATATGTGCTTGAAATACTAAGTCCTCTTTCTTTTAGACTTAGTGGGTTGATTTTACAGAAACGAAATTTTGTATTTCTCGGTTAAGTTTGTATTAATTGAAGTATCTCAGGTAGTAATGCTTAGAGGAGCAGGGCAGGATACTGATAATCTCACTGATATTTTTTGACTTTGGAATGAGCTGGATTTTACAGTATATCATTTTCTATATATTTTTATTAAATTAGAGGCCCAGTATGTTTCTGGGCCACCTCTCCTTTTTTTTTTTTTTTTTTAATTTTAGTATCAGTATTGCTATGAATAATTAATTTAAGAATAACTAAAATCTGTTTTAAAGTTGTATGCTGCTTTATGATTTATATATCCCTTAATTTATATACATCTAGAAAATATATTTGATTGGAATGTTAAGCAGTTGTTTCTTTATTTATCAGCCGAATATTCAACAAAAAATAATGTAAGTATATGTATAGAAGTATTTTCATAGATATTTAAAACCTCATTCTTTAGAAAAGAATATAAATTTTATATATTCAAAATATCTGACGTGAGTAATTTAGTAAATAGCACAAGCCCATGGAAAGGTGACTCTACTAAGAAAACTTTATCTCCTTTGGTAGCTTTTGTCTTTTTTGTTTTTCTGTCTGCTTCTACAGCCCCCCTGCATTGTGGTTCCCAAGAGTGGGGTGCAAGCAAGGTAATGCCTAGATATATAAGGAAAACAATTAAGAGCTACTATTTCTTTTCTTATGGATCTAAGAAGAGTTGCCAGATTTTCAGTTTGTTCAGCTTTTTACTTGGCGTTAGGATGCAGTGGCAAGTTGCAAGCTCCTCATGTGCCACGCTGGAAGCCAAAAGTCCATTTATGTATTTCTCAATTTAAAATAAGAGGGAAAAGATGTGAAATTTTACTATACTCACTCTGTGGACTGACACTGATACTCTACTCGGTCCTTAAGTCAAATGGTCACACGCCTCCTAAAACACGCACCTTCTCTGGAGGAAGGGGGAATTCTGTAGGGCAGGCGGTCAGCCTGCTGCATACATGAATCCGTTCACTTTCAGCATTTTGCAAAGTTGTGCAATGTGTACCCAATTGAGTAGATTATATCATCTAGTTTTAAACAAACTAATCCTCACAAATGGAAAAATGGTTAAAAAATTCTTTCAAAGAAATTAGAGATTGAAGAGAATGCTAATGGTCCAGACACGTGTGAGCGACAGGAAAACGGCCGAGCTGACAGCCACGTTAAAGGATTAAAAAAAAAATCAAAGAGATCTAATAAATAGTTGGCTGAGAACAATTTAGCATTAGTCAAGAAGCCTATTTGAAATGCACATTTACATTCACTATCAATAATTATATATCTAACGATAATAGTAATGTGTATCATGTACGTAATTTGTAAATAAAGATGCATAGTTTGGGTTGGTGTTCAAAATAATTCATTATCAAAAATCTTTGGAGGCTGTTTCCAGTGATAAGCTCCAAAAGGATGTTGCTGAACTATGGGTTATGAGGAAATGAGGAGGTCGAATTTACTCCTCAGCTAAGTCCTCTGTAAGCTAAGATACTCTCTCCACAGCTACCATTAGAGATAGACGGCAAGATACTTGAATCAGTGAAATTTGTAACTTGTGCTTACAACTCTGTTACCCAGATATGTAATCAAAAACTGTAAAGATAACTAATTTGTGAATTGTCTCTTAGATTATTTTAAAATCCATCTAAATATTTATATTTTTCCTCTTTTAATACATGATGGGAGCTGTTTTGATAGTCTTTTATTAAGCCATATATCTACAATTAATTTATATTGAGAAATACATTACTTTGTTTTGAGTTGTGCAGGGCTCATCAGTTTGAGCACTAAAGTAGTCTTTTTAATCATAAATTAGAGTTGATTAGAAGTTTTATAATTAAAAGCTATTAAACTGTTAGACTAAAACCTATTATAACATTATTAAAACTATTAGTTTGTGACTGAAATTTATTAGTCCAGTATGATTTAGAGCTTTTGTTGCAGGTAAGAGTAAGGGTTAAAATATTTATATAGCATATTGATAAAACAGAAATCTTCTTATGTCCTAAAGGTGTAAGGTGAATGATTCTGGTATGTGCGTTAACTCCGAAAGGTGAAATCTGTGGAATCAAAATGTGCTTCTATGTTGTTTTTACCTGAGTTACCCTTATGTTTTGTTATCAGCATAGCCTGAGGTAATTCGTAGTTGAGAGATGAGTCTACTTCTGTATTGTATTTGAACTGTATATTCATTTTCAAGGGATGACAAATGAGTCAACTTTATTTGTTGATTGGTTTGATTAGTTAACTGGAATCATTAGCACTTCAATTCTTTGTATATTTATTTTGAGCATATCTTTTATGGAGGATACTTTGTTGGGCAGTAAGAATATTGGGTTGAATAAGTTTTGATCCCTGCCCTTGAGAACAACAAAGCGTTAAACAGAAAAAGCTGCTCTGAAGATAAGAGTGACAGCTGTAAGCACAAGTATTCTACAAGTTTCAGCAAATGATCCAAGTAAATATGTCACCTTCTTGGTGATGGATGTACCTGAGTCAGATTCATAACTGATTTACTCCAGCATGGCTAGTAAGTTAATACAGTTTGGAATTTGACAGATCACTGCTTTGGTGAATGAATAAATATACATAAAAAGTCATTTTACTTTGGCATATCTTTGATTCTGTGTTCTTCAGTCTTGATGTTTCTGTTTAATGTTGGAGGGTTTAAGGTGAAGATTTGAACCCCTTTTTAGAAATTAAGTGTTCCACATTTCTTTTTAGTTAATGCTGAGGAGTTGGCCTCACAAGCTAATGGATGGTAGCTTCATAAGAACACATTTCATGGCATTTAGAAGTGGTTACAAATGTGCTTTTTCTCCATTTCGTAACTCTAATTTTCCAAATGAAACTTGCTTATGATATGTCAAAGCAGTGGCTTAAAAGAATTGGCTGACTTCTAGGTTTTTGCCAGTAAAACAATAATGTGCCTATGTTTCCTTAAAGGAAAAAAAAAACCTAAAAAGTCTTCATTTCTTTAGTGATGCCTTGATAATTTAAAAACCTTGGAGATATATAAATTTTCATGAGATAATCTAGCAGCAGTGACCTGTATTAGCAGTGTGATCTACAGGGATTAGTTCTCTCTGTTTCCCTGGCACCATGCAGTGTCCACAGGGTTGGAGGGTGTCAGAAATTTTACAGGGAAAAGTGATTTAAAAGAATGCTTCCCTTCTAGGGATTCTAGTGCCTTCTGTTTCTCCTAGGGCCTCACTATGGAGAGCACATAAGTCTAAAACCTTGCATTAAACTTTGAGGGCTCTAAATAATACAGTTGCCGTGGCCAAAGGGGTGATTTCCTTTAGGGAAGTATCTTTCTTTTGTCCAGAAGTTTCACTCTTGTATCTATCCACTTGTTACCATTTTGTCTGCTTTAAGATTTTAGCAGTTCCCTCAAAGTTGGATTCATTCATATAAATTAAACTCTTCGCTTAACATACTTCTGAAGTGACAGAGATGCTATATCTGTTGAATTATCTAATTAATTTTTATTTTAATGTAGGCTCTGAACCAGGTTGTTCTGTGGGACAAGATTGTTCTGAGAGGTGATAATCCAAAGCTGCTGTTGAAAGATATGAAAACAAAGTATTTTTTCTTTGACGATGGAAATGGTCTCAAGTGAGCAATTCTTTGTCATTTTTTACGTGTGATGTTACATGAAGGGGAGAGAAAGACGTGATGTGTTTTTATTTTAAAGAAAAACAGCTAAAAAGAAAAGTTGAGAGAGAAGAAAAGTATTTATACAGATGTGAACTGGAAGATGGGGTAGAAATAGTACCGGGCTTCTGCCCTTAAGGGTACAGGGATCCTGGGCTGCTGGCCCGGGAGTGGGACTGTCGTCAAAGGGCTCCTTCGGGGGTGTCAGAGGAGCCTGCCTGGGAACCTGAACGAGGAAGCCACGTGTTGGTCTAGGAGTTGATACTGAAGTTTCTAGTTTCGGTTCACTTAATCTCTCTGAACCTCAGCTTCCTTTTATATAAAATGAAGGAATTAGAACGATTGATCTTTTGGGTCAGTTTTAGCTCTTAAGCTCTGCGGGTCAACTTTGGAAAGGATTTTAGGGGAGAGCTATTTTAACCAAACCTGGTTTTGCAGATGAAAAGTTTCCAGCCCTGAGAGAGTTTGATTGATTCAGGTTTGCCCATCTGGATAATGATAGAATTAGGTTTCAAATCATCGTCTCCTGATTTCTAGCTCAAATCTCTCTGTTTTCTGTGTTTTACTCATTTAAGCGTTTTGGTTGATGGCTCGAATAACTGTGACTTAAGTGACTTGAGGAGGGTCATTATGGGGGACCTGCAGTGAGAATCCTGCTGTTTCCCAGCATCATCTTGGATCTCAAACGACTTGAGAAGAACTTGTGTGTAGATTAGAATTCCAATTAGGAATAGCTGGTTAAAAATAAAGTATTTGATACCTCAGTGCTTGAAATAAAACGTTTTTATTGAACTACAAATGTTTCTGCTGACATCTGTTTATTATATCTTTTTATAGGGGAAACAGGAATGTCACTTTAACCCTATCTTGGAACGTTGTACCAAATGCTGGAATTCTACCTCTTGTGACAGGATCAGGACATGTATCTGTCCCATTTCCAGATACATATGAAATAACGAAGAGTTATTAAATTATTCTGAATTTGAAACAGCATATTTTTGTACCTAATGAATTGTATCTTGTTTATCTCTTCCCTTGCATCTTTATTTGTTTTGGGTTGTTAACTTTTTTTTTTTTTGGTGTAAGAATGCACATCAAAAGGCATATTTGAAGGGAAAGGTTAATGTACTACTTAATTTTCCAAACAAAAACAAACAAAGGCCATCAGAGTGGAGTATTATAAGAATAAGACAGCCACATGAGAAGGATTTGTGAAATATTTATATTTGAAGTATTCCCTGTATTTCCATTATTCTTTATGGAATATGAAGTGAGCATGAAGGGTAGTTAAAACTTTCAGGTGCCTATGGAGTTATAAGAACTCTATTTATGCCTTGCATTTATGCAAGTTCACATTGGATGTGATTTAGAAGCAGACATTCTCTATTACCTCTTTTAGGGTATGTCTGAATACTGGAAAAATTAATACAATTGTTGGTGAGAAGCCTGGTTTACAAAATAGCGAAAAGTGATGAATTTTATTCCGTTTGTCTTAGGAATGCCCACAATGCTTGTTTTTCTGACAGGTGACTAGCAACTTTCTCCACTAAAGACTAAATACCTCTTTATATGCTGTAAATCATTCTAAATCATTTTAAAGTCTCTTAAGTCAACCAAATGTGTGTCTTTCAGTGCTTTCTCTAAAAAAGTTCCTTGGTATTATATCTTTGTGTGATTCTTTTTTTTTTTTTTTTAACATTGCCATTGAACGTTGAAAATGTTTGCATGGTTTATCTAGTGAGCATGCCTAGTGCCACGGAGTGGTAATTATTTAATTATTTTTCTAGGTCCACATTTGAATAATTTTTGGGGTAATAATAATCGATATGTGTTGGTGTGCATTTCCACTCACAGGCACTCATATATTTTACTGTATGTGATCCTCAGTAATCTAACGAGGTAAGTAGTGCAAATGTTAGCTCTTTGCAGATAAAGAAACAGACCCAGAAGTTTGTGGAATTGCTTCAAGGTTATTACATAGCTAGCAAGGAAGGGTGTTAACCTTTGAACTCAGATCCAATTCTTGAAGCATATCCTTTTTTTATACCTCCGATTACAGACTAGTCAAAATTCACTTATATAATTTTTATTGTATTTTTTGTTACCCTGGACGCCCTTTCTGTTACCTAGAAGAGATTTCCTATCCTGTGTGGAAATGACTAATTTTCAAGTTGCCAACAATTTACATAGCGGTACTATCTCACTCATTCTCTGCAGAAGTTAATTATACTCATGTTAAAAGTATCAGAATCCAAATGTATGGAGAATTATTCAGAGATTGATTATATGATCATATTTAACGTGAGTTTTTTCTACAGTGGGCGAATAAGCGTCCTCAAAGGAAGCAAGTACAAATCAGTCCCTTAAGAGCAAGACCGAGCACTGTAGGTGCCTTATCGGCAGTGACCCAGAAGGGCTAATATTTTCTAAGAATAGCTTACAGTAGTGGCTTAACATTTGTTATACTTATTTCACATGAAATACATCTCCGTTTAATTGCGTTGGTTGGAACAGCTCTCACCTGTAAGGGTGTGTGTTCTGTGAAGGTCAGTTGAAGGTCAGAAGTACAGTATCATGAATGCTAGACTGGGTTTGGCTCCAGCTTTTTCATTAAACTTTTCAGGGTCTCCGTTTCTTTATCTGTAAAATGACAGGGTTGGACTAGTTAGCTTAAATAGTAGTTCTTTTATACCACACACGTCTGTAAAATTTGTTGGATCCGTTTGGCAGAGAGATTGAACAGAAAAGCACCTCAGTAATGTGACGGCAGCCAGATGATTGAAAGACAAGTCAACACATAATTCATATTGATCTGACTTATTTCTGTTAGATTTTACACCCAGAAGATTTAACTTCTTACATAGTTTGTACAAACTTAAAATCTTTCGGCATCAAAGCTTAAGTTGGGTGTGTTCTCCTTGAGGCGGGTACATGTAAGAAGCCTGCAGCCTTAGCCAGACCCGGGGCTGGTTTAGGTGTTCATGGGCCTCTGCATGCGTGGATCTGTGTTTGCTGGAGATGAATGTGGAAATTTACTCCAGTTCCTGTTCAGTCCAAGCCCACCCACTTTTTGGAGTTCAGTGAGAAAGGGGAGTAGAAAGGCCCCCTAGCACAATGGATGCGTTTGCTTTTACTCACTAGCTAAGGGAAGCTGCTCAGGACAAGAATGCGCCAACATGGGAATAAGAAACCTCCCTCTCAGGAACTCACTTTTGGGTATGCACAGCTTTGTAAGTTCACTGTAATTCTGCACGAAGAAGATGGACCTGTGTTCAGTTGATAACCATATCATCAACCTCAGCGTCAGTGTTTTCAAGAAGTCTTAGAAAGTCTCCATAAAGACCCAAGGCTTCACACTTTTTTTGTTTTTGTTTTTGCGGTACGTGGGCCTCTCACTGCTGTGGCCTCCCCCGTTGTGGAGCACAGGCTCCAGACGCGCAGGCTCAGTGGCCATGGCTCAGGGGCCCAGCCGCTCCGCGGCACGTGGGATCTTCCCGGACCGGGGCACGAACCCGCGTCCCCTGCATCGGCAGGTGGACTCTCAACCACTGCGCCACCAGGGAAGCCCCCGGCTTTACACTTTTAATTAGAAACATCGGAGCCCAGGGATGATCCTAGGAAGAGAATAATTGCAAGACACTCATCTAAAGTAATTATGTTTAGAAATGAGTTAATTTTAAGATGTTGTGCTTACGTGCTCCTTTTCTCTAGCAGTTTAACCTAGACAAGCAGCTATATCAGTGATTCTATTCCCCCAGTTGATTACATTTGGTTCCTTTATGCTTAAAGGAAGATAACAGAAAACTTCAGAAATTCCTTATGGTGTAATAGGAAAAGGGGGTTATTTTGAGCTTCTGTTTTTGGAATTATTTTACAGCTCTTTGGTGGGTCTGGCAACTAAGAGATAGGCTTGAAGGCCGCGAGGAACGTTTGTTCACTGTTCTATCTAAAGCTTAATGAGCTAAAGCTTTGGGTCTTTGGGGGTATAGGTTAACGGAGGTGTTATTTCATAATGCTTTGACTTGACCTGAAATGAGTTTATGGGGGGGAAAAAACCATAAGCTGTGAATTTTGGTAGTAAACATCTGTCCATTTCAGATGCTTCCCTTGCTTTTAGCAGGCAGCCTGTGTACCTTTTGTGTGACTGCCAGTGGTTTAAAGAGATCTGTTTCAAAAAGTGGTTGCATGTTTTGATGCAATTTGGGAAACTTTACAGATTCATAAGAAAAAAATCCATGAAAATACTGAAGATATGTTTGAGGATTTTCTTAATTGCAATAAATATTCAGCATTTTTCTAATGAAAGTGAATTTTGTTTATGAGTAAAAGTATGCATTTTAAAAGACTTTCCGATCGATGCTTTCTTTTATGTGAAGCTGCTGCACTAAGAGAAAATGGCTGAAACCAAGTCTAGTAACCTTGAGGTGGTTTTCTTTTCTCCCCCCTCCCACCCCCTCTTTTTTTTTTTGGTGGGGTGGGTCAGGGGAGGTCAATCACACCTAAAAGATCTTCTCCAGAGACTGCGCTCCTATACTAGACTGTAAGCTCTCCGAGGGCAGTCTTGTGGGTTTATCTTTGTATCTTGCCCAGCGCCTAGCAGAGTGCTTTGCACATAATAGGCGCCCAATAAATGCTGATGGTGAACGAAGTCATTGTCTCTGTAATGTGGCCAGACCGTGGGGACTGCCTTGCAGTGAGTGAATGCTCTCTGTACGGGCCGCCTTTGTCATTCTTGAGCTCCTGGTGACGTTAGATCTGATTCTTCTTCCTTCTGTTCACGCCTTGGGACAACCTGGGCCGGGCTAGTGCCACTCTGGTTGCCAAGACCTGGGTTCTCCCAGTGCCAGGCTTCTGGTGAGAGCCAAGGGGTAGTGACTGGTTGAGAAGATGAATAAAGTAACACTAGAAAGTCACCACACAGACCTGAGTTTAAAAACTCAAGATGCCTGTGGAGCTCATGAAGAACCGGGTCAGAATAGACAGCTGGCTCCATTTGAAAGTGTGGCGGGCCCGGCCTCCCGGCCTCCCGGGCGTGTCGGCGGTTTTGGGTCGCTGCCCTCGCACTCCTGACCCCTGGGACGACCCTGTGAGCCCACTGAGTTGTGGGAACCCTGCTTTTTCTTTCTGTTTCTCAAAAGAATGTTTCCCAGTGAACTCAGACAACTGAAACGATAGAAATACTCCCTCAAAAGAACAGAAAGTTGAATTTAAAGGACAACTGAGTTATATTTAACCTCAGTGTATTTTATCTGGGACAACACAAGAGGTGAGCTGGGTTTTGTTTTTGTTCTCTCTGAACCTGGGCAATGCTATGTCAGAACTTCAGTCCTTAGACGTTTTCTCTCACACATTTTCTCTCGGCCTGATTTGTTAAAGCGAGGATTCTGGATCCTGCAGCCTGTTGCCTGATGAGTGAGTTATCCCTGTAGAAGGAAAGTGGCCCCGTCAGTAGGTGAGCCTCAGTCTATCTGACCTCAAGTAGCTTTCAGCCAGGCCTTTCCTTCCCACTGGAGAGGGGCAGAGAGGTATTTCCTTGTTGGAATATGTGTGGTTGATGCACATCCCACTGGTATATCTGTTGAGTATGCTTGGGAGTAGGGATCTGGGTGTTGAAAGGTAGTTAGTGGTAAAACCCATATTCAGACTCTGGCGTCTGTACCGGAGCTGAATGCCCCTCCGTACAGGCTGTGTGCTGTTTCGCCAGAAACATGGGGTGATCATAACTTTCTTCCAGAAGTGCTGGGAGAAGGAAATACGTGTGGGAACAGGATCTCCGGGGATTCTTGGCACATGGCAGGTTTTTATTACTTCTGCGAAATGTAGGGCATGTAGGGGAGTTGAGGGAACGGGGCCGAACAGTTCACAGACTCTAAAGTCTCTGCAGGGTTTTTTTCTTTTACCTATAATGGTAGGACAACTTAGGTAGTTATTTCATTTGATGCAAAACACTGAGTCTTGCGCCAATGTTTTTCACCTAAGAATGGAAAAAAATCACTTAGCTTGATCATGAAGATTAGTTGATTAATGACGGTGAAAAGTATAGAAAACTTTACCCTCATTTTAACCATCTGGAATAAGAAAGGCCAGGGAAAAAACAAGGAATAAAGCTGACTGGAAGTTGGCGTGTGAGACAAAACGCACTGACGACGAAGGGGAGGTGGATTTATTCTGGTCCTTGCAATGGGGAGAACGTCCGTTTCTGCAGAAGGATTTCTCAGAAGAGGCAGGAGGCTTGGGTTTCTTAGAGACAGAGAGGTAAGAGAGTCCTGCAGAGGTGGGGTGGATGCCGTTACTTCTCAGAACATGTGGGCTTGGTGGGCAAGGTTCTGCTCTCAGAAAGTCCAAGGCCGGGGGCTTCTTGACCACTGCTTCCTTCTGGGCGCACAGGGCGCAGGAAGGATTCAGCATTGTCATTGGTTTGGGGAGAGCTAAGAAAACTGCAGAGTCCTCTAGTGGAACAGCATCACCGTGGGTCGGTATCCAGGAGGTTACAGAGGTCAGGGTAAGGTGTCAGAGGCCTCATCAGGAGAGGAAGCACCCCAAAGACATGCGGAACCTGAATCAGGTCTATCTCCCATTATTTGTCACTTTCAACTTAAAGACTGACAGTTCACTGACCGCCAGCTCTTTACACTTGATTATACCGTAGCAATCAAGAAATCAAACATGTATTTACTCAGCATCTTTTCTACCAAGTTCTAAGTATTTATTTTAATTTAAAATCAGTGCATTATATATTCTTATTTCTCTCCATTGGTCATTTGTCTACTTAACAATCCCTGATCACCCTTCTGGTAATGAGATACTCCTCTCATTATGTAGACTGCTCACAGGTTCTAAAAGTTGTCCTTTGCCTGCCCATCCCTGCTAATTAGAAATACATTTCTGGTAAGTAACCTAAGAGTCATTCCAGTTTTGCAAAGGGTGTTGGTTAGGAAGGAGGCTAAATAGATTGTTTAAAGGCCTTTATTAATCCTTCAAAAAATTATTACTGTTCACTAGAAGTTTCAAAAATAGCACAGACAAGTCCTCTGTACCCTTAATCTCAGCTCCCCCTTGTGGTGACATCTTACATAACTATAGGTCAGTATCAGAGCCTGGGAACTGGCACAATCCATAGACCTTATTCAGATTTCACCAGTTTCACTTGACTGATCTGTGTCCATTATGCAGCCTCTATAACGGGCCAGACACTGTGCTTGCTTACACCCGGGGGTGGAGTGATGTAATACAGACAGCACCTCAAACACTTTAAATGTTCTTGGGAAGTTTGTTTTTAGAGTAAAGCCGGGAGTCCTCAGGCCTGCCTTTAAGATTTTTCCGGTTATAGAGTCAGGAGGTAAAATATTGTTATCGCAGTGATTACTAATGACAGAATAAACACACTAAAGTGGGTGGGAGGCGGGGGAGGGGTGTGGGGGGCACACGGCACACGTCACGTTGAATCACGCAGCCAAGATTCTCCTCCTGATGGTGCACTTGGCCGGGAACCCCACTGCATCTGCGGAACCATGTCCAGGCTCAGCGCAGCTGGCTGCAGTGCAGCGGCCGACCCTGGTAGGACCCGTCAACCAGAGAGATGCTCGGACTCCAAGGGAAAACGTAAAGTCATCCACAGAATTGCTGGAAAAACAGATGGTCTTATCCAACAGGTGATCTTACCTGACTGTTTCTGTGACATAGTCTTGGAGCTGCATTAAGTGCTAAATCTGGTGATGCTGAAGGGCTTCCAGGATAAGATGTGAGCTGTATTATCTGGCTGGGATGACTCCAGGAGGCCAGAGGGACCGATCTTCCAAATCTAAGGCCTCCTGTTGGTCAGTCCCCTTCCAGGAAGGCACATTCCGTGAGAAAAGATCTCCAGGGCAACCTATGAAAGGCAGTGGGTCTGTATCAGTACCTGTGCTTTTATGACACTCCTGCCACACACATAAAATTGCAAGTGAAGTTTTACAAAATAATTCTTTGGGCTATAGGCATATGCTCTCTTACCCTTCTTCCATGTCATTACAAGAAAAAAAAAAAGATGGTCATGACCTAGTTAATCAATTTCAAGACTCCTTGTTTAAAAAAAGTTCAAATTGTAATAGGAATCAAGAAATTGAGTCCACAATATAACAGAATTTCATAATAACAGCTACAATTTACCTATTATATGCTAGGTGATTTATAAACAGCAGCAGCAGCCATAACATTCCTGGGAGCCATTCATCACTCAGCAGACGTTTACTGTGCTCCTGTTGGCCACAGGCACTGTTCTAGTCGCTAGAGACGGGGCAGTGATCAAAGCAGAAAGAACAATGTCCGCTCTCATGGAGCTCACCGTCTGGTGCGGAGAGTCTCTAGCAAACACATGAAGTAAGGATGTATTTTGTGTCATAATAAGTACTATGGAGAAGAAGAATCGGGGAAGGGGGATAAGGCGTGTTTGGGTGCAAGCTGATACCTGAAGGAGATGAGAGAATGGACTTCAGGGTGTCAGATAGAGGAGAAATCCTGACCCCGGGAGTAGCAAGGGCCAGACTCCGAGACAAGGATTCTTGGCTCATCCAAGGAACAGGACTGATGTGGGATACAGATGTGGAAAAACAGGTTCAGGAACCTTAGCTCAAGGTCAGACTAGGAGGGGTTCTGAACACAGGTCTAGCTGGCTCCAAAGTCCATTACAATGTCCATCACCAGGACATATAGAACACTAGTTACTGCACATCTACTACGTGTCATCCATCCTCTTACTCAGCTTTAACTATGTGATGGTTGCCTCTCATTTTCTGGTGAACTACAGGAGTCAGGTACCCCTGGCTAGAAATCACATAATAAAGAGCTTGTTAATAGAAGACACTCAGGCCCAACAAGCTTTACGAAGATTAATAGGGGAAAGAAGCAAATATATATCCAGTGCATCACTGTTTTAATTATTTAGTGAGATGGCATAAGAGAATAATTTTCTATATATATTCATATATTTTCATATAAGAACTTAATATAACTCATTCATATAATTTCCTATATATTTATTCATCTTCTACGTGAAATATTTTAAGTTCAGTGTAACCTATAAAATCGCTAGAGAGGGAAGTAATTTTCATCAGTACAATTTTTACAATTTCTTGGTCTTAAAGTTAATTTTTTACAGTAAGAACTTTTCATGTCCAGTCATTTCATAGACAGCTTTCAGCTGGGCACTGTGCTCTATGCAAGGTCTACACCTTGGTGCCTGGTTTTTCTCAAATGAGCCTCTTTTGCTGATTACTGGGGCTTTGGTGCCCCCTGGTGATAGAGCCGAGAAAAACAAGTACTAGGTCTCCCGCATTCCATGCTGCCTCGTGTTGCGGCCTGATGGGTACGATTTACAACAGGGAAACGCATAAAGAAAAATTACCCACAGGAAGGTGCACTTGTGGGTTCCTTTAGTCTTGCGTCACACAGAACTTGCCAAAAGCTGTGAGAGGGTTAAGGTAAGAGAAAGCAATGTCTAATCTTATGAACAGACGAGGCTCGAAACCAGTGGCGTGGAAAAAAATAAGCCTTAAGAGTGGGACTAAGGGAAATAAATCAGTCTTATCGCAAATGTGTGCATACTGCCGATAAATCCACTCCTGATGAAACAAGACAAGTAAATTTTTAAAAGTTATTGAAAACCAGATT